GTTGTTGTTACTATCTCTTCATGATCTTTATGAATGTACATTTTGTTGCGTAGTAAGTGCACATGTGTAGAGATGCAATTCATATGATTTCTAGATGCATTATAATAATTACATAGATAACAACAGTCCTGAAGGCTCAGCTGCAAAAATAAGTTGTAGGAGTAGAAACAAATAGCCCTGTTTGTACAAAGATGGTGTCAAACATAGTCTAATATATACAAATATTAATAAACGATATGGTCTAGGCTTCTCTAATTTGACTCCAAAACAGCACAGTATATATGCAATTAATGTGAGTAAAAATAAATATACTAACTTACAGTGTAGTTTCCATAAAAAGTGGCATTATTAAATTGTTATCCACTAACTATGTCCACCCCAGGTCTGCTTTCCTACCCGTGAAAGTCACTGCACGCTACTGCGATATAGTGATTATCGTGACAGGCCTATTCACACACTACAGTTCTATAAGCAAATCTTTAAGTACATACCACTATATCAGGCAGACACATCAGCCCATCTGGATAAGTGCAGTGATTTTGCTCCTACTGTAAACACACATGTATATTTTTGCATAGGGGATTTAAAAGCCACAAATAGCCTGGTAATGAGCTGTTTCACACAAAGGCTCATAATGGCATCTCTATGTCAGGAAGATTAACATGATTCAACAGCGGTAATGAGCTTTTTCAATAGTCTGTGTGTGTAGGCAGCATTGTGATATGTTATGGATATATGTTATGCGTTAGACTATGTGTCAGAGGGCCCCGGTGCTAATAAAACATGGCTGCAGTGTATTTGTACAGGGGACCAGAAGGGTAGAGTACATCCAAATATATGAATATGTCTGACATTACACATTTTCATCTAGTATTTATTTATTATAGGGATTTCTAGTGGCCAAAAACCTGACCTAAATTGTAATGTAGCGTAGTGCTGTAACCTGCGTGTTTCTCTCGTGATATTTAATCTATACCCATTCTAGGTAAAGCAATAACATTTCCATGGCCCAAAACAACTAAGGAACTGTGACTATCAATAAAATAACTAGGAACTATGAAGATAATTTACTAATGAAAGATGTTGTTTGGATTAGGAATAAACCATGTGCAAATGAGGACTAAACCAAGACTAAACAAGAACTAAACCAGGTACCAAACAGTGCTCTCCATTCCCAACACATGTAATCCTTAAAACGAACCACAGCTAAGTAAACATATAAGCATGTGTTTGACTGGCTCCCTTTCCAAAGAGTGAGAAATACTGCTAATGGAAATGTCTACACTGAATGAGAGTTTAGTCGAGTCGTGGGGATGTCCTGAAATGGTGGAGATTGTGGGTTTAACAGGGTAAATATTCACTGTGTGTGGAGGGATGTGTACATAAGTCATGCTGCTTAAGAGCATTTTGGTTAAAGAGCCGGCTCCAGAGCAGAACCAATGTGTCTGAATATTGGGGTAAATATTAGAGCGTGCAGCCAAGAGGAGAGGGAGGTTAAAGCACAGCAGATTAATAGGAACAAAGAGGAGTACCAAGAGCCTACATTACCCTGTGAGGCCATGTGTGGTGATCCTGCAGCTTTTTAAATGAGTTCTGATTAGCCCAGAAACGATCTCAGCTGCTCTTGTCAAATCTAAACTTAACTAAAAGAAAAATCTCTCACGCTCCAGGCCACACCATGATGGAGATAAAATTGTAAAGTCTTAATATTTCTGTAACTTATATAACTATAACTACATCCACCTACTTGGATTATCATTTTACCCAATATCAATACAGTGATAGAGTATAGTTTTTATTTTTAATTTTGTATGCTTTTATTTTAATTTTGTAATGCGTACCAAAATTGTTGTGCGACAATAACATGTTATCTTGTAAAACTGCCAATTAATGACAGTGACATTTTATCTGTGTTGAAGAAAAACATTTAAAATTTGCTCTTTTAAAGTTCTAAAAACCTCTCTTTCCCAGAGCTGCACCAGAAGGGAGACAAAATTATATAAAATTTCTGTAAGACGTGAATATATTTATGTGTTTATAAACTACAGACTAGCATAATAGCTGAGTAACAATCTTGAAATAATGTAAAAAGCTGTTGGGATGATGTCCGGTAAATTGTCCATGACCATTTTATGTTGAGAAAATTAGTCTTGTAAATTTCATACTCCTAAAAATGTTCCCAGGGCCACACCAGAAATAAGCCAGCATTCACAAGGCAATCTTAATCGTACCAGAATAATATGAACACTGTATACATGCCTGAAAGCCCAATTTAAAGTGAAAAAAGGGACTCCTTAATTCCATCTAACCAAATGGTACGGCAGTGCTTTCGGCCTGAATGCTGATAACAGTCAATTGATTATTAATCCATTCCTAATACTCCCCCAGCGTCAGGGCAAACGGGAGTTGGAGGCAGAAACGGGCACAAAAACACACTCCCACATCCACACAGCAACACACAGAGACACAACGCCAGAGGCCAAAAGTGTCAGATGGAACAGAGCGTACGCTACCAAATTCAGTGTTGCACAAAGCAGCCAAATTAAGATGCAGAAAAACAGAAAACAAGCACCTACTCAAATTGGAAGCACATGGCCGGACGGAGCCAGCGCAGAAGGACGGCACACTAATATTCTGGCCGTGTCTCATTCTCTTAACCCTTGCATATTTTTGACATTCTGTACATTCTATTTCTGAGTGGAGTCTGCATGTCCTTCCTGTGTCAAAATGAGTTCTCTCCAACTTCCTCCCACTGCCTAAAGCGATGTATGGTGATCGGGGAAAAGGTGATTCGAAATTGGGTCCAGTGAATGCACATGAGTGATTGGTTTGTCAGTTTTTAACTTATCATATAAGAGAGAAGTGGTGTACCCCGGTCAGTAGTTGGGGTAAGGTCCAGGCTCTTGCAATGACGATTTAAGTTTTATGAAATTTTAGATGCCACATTTTTGGGTTGCAAAGAGCACATGTAATTCTTTATTGGACAGCTATTATTAACTTCATATTTTGACACTTTTCAAATTAAAATAAAAAGGAAGTATAATATTATTCACTTTGTATGTTGTAGTTAGGTAAATAATACTGGACAATATTGTCTTTGTGTCTTCATTCTAGGTTCTTGTCCCACTGTGCCTTTGGTAGGACTCCAGTTCAAGCATTGACAGGTGTTAAAAGAAAGTAAAATAGAATAGTATTTGAATATAAAATGCATCTAAATTTTAATATTTTTGAACTAAATTATTAAAACAGGAAAATTCTATAGTAATCAATTTAACAGTAACAGTTATAAGTAATAGTTTGTATTTGCCTGATTACTATAAGAATCATCAACGCATGAGTTTGTGTCCACTCTGAGTACGTTCCAAGGCTTAGGGGGTGCTTGAGACAAAGGAGGTTGGGACCCCCTGCTCTGCTCGACCTCATGTCCACCACACTGTGTCCTATTGGCCCGCACACATCATTGGGGGCACACAGCAGATGGTCACCACTAGCAGAACCTCCTCCTCCTGCTGTCTTATACTTACTCTGCCCATCTTCAACCATGCCCCCGCTGGTATTATTTTAAATCAAGCAGGTCCTCTACCCTGCAGCCACCCAACCACCAGTGCATAGAGTCGCACGCAAGGAGCAAATGAAAGAATCTTACGGTACATGCACATTTGAGCAGGTCACACATATGGCGCCATTACATGCACGGGTTCCCCCTCGTACTATCTTTCCACGCTTCAAATCACATCAAGATGACAAGAGATTTTATTGACGTCCACATATGCACTTTCTCTCTGCCTCCCTCTCTCTCTTTCTTCTCTGAGGAGCTGTATTAGTCGTTACACGCAGACAGTTTGGTTAATCAAGTGAGGTGTTTCTAGCCTGGTCAGCAAGTCGATATGTTTACAACCAATGGAGTGCTCGAAGCTAAGGTATAAATATGGGGACTTCATTTGCAATAACATGGTCATTGCTGTTACAGATCACAATGGAGTTCATGCATATATTTCAGCCATGTTCACTAATTAAATGTGTAACCTTTTATATGCTACATGGACATATATGGGTCTTTGGTTTATTGTATGTGCTGTTGTTTACATAATGCTGCTAAGGGTTGACTAGGGATGCGCCGATCTGATACTGGTAACAGATAGCAGCACTACTGAAACTGATACTGAAAAAATTGATGGATCATATATCGGCTTCCAAATTTCAGTTCAGAGGATGTCCTAATTATATATATTAATTGATTTTAAAAGACTATTTATGGTTGGTTGGTCATGGTTGGCCCAGAAGTCTCAAAATGTCTCACATATTATTTACTGTAGTTACTTGAGATAAATAACAGCTACTGTACATAACACATTTGGATCAATTTTGTCTCATTTTATTTTGTAGGAAATAAATGTTCTCAGTCTCTGTACTGGTATTGATTGAGACTGGGTATCAGCAGATATTTAAAGCTGTTGAACTAGAATCAGAACTGAAAAAGCTGGATTGGTGCACCCCTTGTTGTGTATGTGTAAAAACATCCATTGGACTTAACATTATTATTTTTATAACCTTCATTCACCAAAGCAGAATACTTCATAATTTTAATCAAAAATCCTTTTAAAGTTAATGAAATACAAAGTTGAGCATCCTCTGCTTTAATTGAAGTCAGCAGACATAGTTGACCCGTGTGCCTACTGTATCTGGCTTAAGTAATAGCATTTTATCTCTAATTTTGAGCAAAAAATACAAAAGCCATCATACCCATGATTTTTGTTGAATAAAAGAGAAAAATGACAGATGTGCCATCCTAATTTTTGTCTATCCTGTTAATAAAGCGAGTTACCATAGAAATACATTTTATAGTATAAAATAAGCATAGATAAATCTGACCATGTATTGGGTTAGATCCAACTTTAGGGCCTTTGTCGTACTAAATAAGATTTTTTTTTTTTTTGTAAACTATGCACTAGCGCTTCATTGCTAATTGTTTGTAAATCATACGTATAACATTGACATACCTTGGGATGAGGGACTGACATTGCTGAAAGCCACAGCGCAGGTGAAGATGAACCAGACTGTGAGAGCCATGTTTGAGGCTGATGAACGAGGAGGAAGAGGGCGGGGCTACAGCTGACGGCAGGCACAGGTGAGTGGGGTACACCTCTCCAGCTCACACCCTCCCCACGATGAACCTGCAAAGAAAACAAAACAAAACATTAAAAAGTTTGAAAGATAGAGTCCTCGGATGTTCTTCACAACTTTGTAATTTCCAAATTTGACAGTGCAGTTATTTATTCATTTAGCACTGAAATATGTGCTAATAACGGCGCAGAATACTAAACACTGCATCAAAGAGCAGTGTGGAAGTCTCAGTTTGGCTGAATTTGAAATCCATTAGTCAAAAAATTTGTAGCAGAATCAAATGTACAAATGCACACAGAACAGCTACTTAATTGCCTAAGAAAATAGTGACTTTGATTACAAAACACCACAGCCAATGCATGTTAAAATAACTTCATCTGTAACTCTGGAACAGGAAATTGTGTATTTTCTTTTTTTTTTTTTTCACTTTTGCAAATTGTTCCACACTGCTTTGGGGGTAAGCGTGTACAAATTCAAACCCGCCGAAGCATAAAAAGACTAGTATCATAACGTTTGCTCTCCTCAGAGTTAGAAATGAAATAATGACTATATTCCCCCTCCTCTGAAAAGAAGAAGCCCCATTTACAGCCAGGCGGAGAAAACACACACAAATGCGAGGCCATTTTGTGCACGCTGGCATGGCAACAGCTGTTCACACTGCCATCACTCTCCTGTGTTTGAATGGTTGATTGAATAAGACACGCTACATATGTTTTGGGGCTGTTGCCGGAGCAATACTCAACATGTGAAAAATACATATCTGGCATGTGTGTGCGCTTGTGTGTGTATGTGTGTGTGTGTGCACGCAGGCAGAGAGACAGTGAAAAGTGGTGAGTCAGTAGGCAGTGCCGCAGGGCTAACAGATTTCATTTGCCTTATGAAATAAATCACAATCTGGAACTTAGCTCTGATTTTCTGACAGGAGCAGGGTCTTCCCCCTTCAGGCTCCCGCACACACAGACTGCTGAGGTTGGATTTCAGTCTTGACAGTGCACTGGTGGATTGACCACAGCTGTGCCGTGAAGTTTTAAGAGGCGTCAGTGTCATTTTATACAGTTGTTGGGATCAATCAGGTTTTGTTATAAGGGCCATCAATGACAAGTATAAACTCCTTTAGAGAGATGGGACAATAGCAAATTTTAGTTAGGACTGTCACGACAACATAAATTTAAACTACGGTAATGTACAGTAATGCCTCTAACATAAAAATCTAAGAGCAGATTTACACCAGAAAAACTATTCTAAATCTACAATACGGTTAATCTGACCATATAGCCAAAAAAAAACAAAAACACAAATTCCCCTGCAGTGCAAAAAAAATGTACAAACGATAAATACTGACCAATACTGACAAAAAATATTATTCCAGATTTCATATACTGAATGATAACTTGATATAGTAATTATCATTATGATTTTTGTGGGAAGAAACAACACGATGATAACATTTGTCATAATTACTGACATGTGATCAAACAACAATGAAATCCATCTTGATTTTGAGTGTATGTTGTTTTCTCCTTCTGTTCTTGAACTTTGTGTTGCAACACTCTAATTGAAAAGTTTATCCCAGTTTTCTTTCATGACAGCGGACTAACAGATTACCATTCCTCCTTTGATTATCTTTAGGAACTTTTTGATTCAATTTAACAACAATAATACATTTTATTTATATTGCATTTAAAGGAAATCTCAAAGTGCTACAGCAGGTAAAAAAATAAGTCAGTTTAAAATAATAAGCAGTACAAGATCATATGAAATACAGAATTAAAATGGTAATAAAAAAGTAGTGGTAATAGTAGATAACATGATGAAATCCACCAGATAAGAATTTTGCATTGAATTTTACTTTTTGGAGTATATATTGAGTTGAAATTATTTAATTAGGCTCAATTTTTCTATTATAATGTGATTATATTATTATCATCATTATCAATTAACCAAATAATTGTGATATCCTTTGCTATTTAACTCACCTGCGCTAAAACAAAACTTGATTTTTCACTGACATATCTTGATACATGCAGGTAAAATATTCATGTTATTCTAAATTCCCCAAAAGTGTTACCTCTTATTAAAATTGTACCTGAATCCAACCAACACATCGAGCAAACTAAGATATTATCAGTTTTTGCCATTACCTAATTAGCAAAGAAAACATGTCACTTTACGGCTTAATTACTGTTATTCATAGACTCATTTGAAATCTGCACTGCTGTAAGCCTAATAAAAAACCTTGAGGTACCCCAAAAAAATAATATTACAAGCCTTTGACTGCAAATTTATACACAACAGCTCATAGTTCAAGCTGTCAAAGTCATTACCTTCACTGACAAATATTGCCATCAAAATGCGTTGGTGAATATTTGGAAATAAATCAAAGCCTTGTGTTTTTCTTCCCTCCAGACTGATTTGGCGTCACTTTCGCTCCTCGGCCCCTCCCCCCGCTGACCTTCTTTGATATTTACCCAGTTCCCCAGTGGCACGAGCCAAACCACCACCCTCTGCCTCTTAATACTGTATGAGAATTAGTATGACAGTCGTATCGTTAGGCCAAGCAAAGACTGAACAGGAACTGAATTTAAAGGTACAATGTGTAACTTTTCTGGTGGAGGGTTCGCCATCGGCTTGTCTCCATGGAGATGTTATTGCTTACTCTGGAATGTCCTAGCTAGTATGGCATTCAACTTATCCATCTTGCATTTATTCAATAACAAGGGTTTTTATTGTGTAACTTTTCAAGTGGAGGGTCTGCCAGCTGCTTGTTTCCATGGAGATGTTGTTGCTTTGTCTGAAACGTCCCAGTATGGCATTAAACTTATCCATCTTGCATTTATTCAATAACAAGGGTTTTTATTGTGTAACTTTTCCAGTGGAGGCTCTGCCATCTGCTTGTTTCCATGGAGATGCTGTTACTTGCTCTGGAATATCCCGGTATGGTCTTAAACATATACATCTTTATTCAATAACAACAGATTTTATTGACTTAAAAACTTGCTACGCCTCCACACAGATTTGATGAAACTTGGCCTCATAGCATCACCTGCTGTCTCCGTAGAGATAAATATGTGTAAAGTCATACTGTGGAACATTCCAGGAAACATCTCCACGGAGAAAGGCTGGTAACGAGCAAAGTAACACAGTGCACCTTTAAGTCCAGTAAAATTATCACATGTTTTAGCTGTTTTTTTGCCCAAAATGTATTAGAGTCATGTTGACCCATAGAAACAGTTGGAGTTAAAATGTTGTGTGTGACCACCCTCGATGATGAAAATAAAGACACACTGTGAGGGGAAACCAGTGGGACAAAAGCTGACAGCTAATAGCATGAGCAAAGTTGAGTTTCTGATTCCCACCTACCACACTCTCTATTGACAATCAAAAGGTGACTCCACGCAGAGCCGGGACAGGCCTTTTAACCAAAACTTTTTAAACAAAACAAATATGTATTTCCTCTCATTCATTCTCATTGTTTAGTCTTTGCAACAGCAGCTCTCAGCGGTCCACAACAGAAAATACAAATGTGGACAAATTGATTTTATTTTCAGACAACATAAAACAGGCATAATTTTGTTGTGGTGGTAGAATAGGAATGAGATGGAGATGTGCGGAAGGCCAGGATGCAGGAAAAAACATGTAGATCTGACAAAGAAGAGATCAAAGAAACTATAAAAAGACGAAGCGAAATTAGGATGCAGCTCAAGTAACTTCCAAAACAAAAAACAGACGCCACATTGGAAGAAAATGGAGAAAGTTGACTCTGAGTGCAGCAGGAAGTAGGATTTTGCTGAAAATAGCCAAGAGGTTCACAAATGAATAGCAAGACAGAAAACTAATCATGGTTGTAACATCGTTGCTTGGGTGAGAGTCCATTCGCCCAAGGGTGGAGGGTGGTTAAAAAGGGTGTGGGATGATGGGAGTTCTCAACTATATCTTTTACTTACTACAATTTTGCCCGAGGCCTGAAGCTGACCTCTTGCACAGACCACATCTAACACTATTATCCTGTGTGTTTGTAATGGTGTGGAACATTACTCTCGGAACAATACAAGACAATGAACTAAATGAATAACAAAAATGGGAGCATGTTTTCAGGGCATGCATGTTGAAAAGTCCTATATTACACAAAATTGTTTCTGGTGAGCTTTAAGCCATTTTATAATGCTGTTATCTTCTCAAAAACATACCTGGAGTTATGTTTTGTTGTATTTAAACAATTCTATGGTTGAAATGATCAAAGTGATTCTAGTGAAGGTGTGTGGATTTTAAAAACACAGCGGAGCACTTCCTGTATTAGCACATGACATCTTAAGGTGGAACAAGTGTTTTCAGTTTAAAAGAAGAACTGAAAATGCAAAAAAACACAACACCAGGGTATGTTTTTTCATGATATAACATAGATCGTAAAATAGCATAATATAGGTTCCTTTAAATTTCAGATATATTAAAAAAACATTAAGTCATTGTCTTTGCTTTATTTCAGGTCCTTTTATATTCTCTCTCCCTCCTCTGGGTAAGACCAAACCATGTGCATCTCTCTGACATCTTCCAACTAATCTACAAGCCCTGGAGATGCTGTTGCCTTGCCTGGAATGTTTCACAATATGGCATTAAACTTCAATCTAACCTTTAAGTTGGCTTGGTGGCAACACCTGCTGGTCATTATGGTGACAGTTGAGTTAATGCCATTCAGTGGAGCATTCCAGGCAAAGCAAAGAGGCAAGCCATGGAGACAAGCTGGGGGCGTATTCTCTGCTAGAAAAGTTATATAGCGCGCCTTTAACAATATGCATGCAAATGAGTGTTGTCACGATACTCACATTTCAAACTCACTTTCAGTACTAAGTAATAGACTTGATACTCAATGCTCAATAGTGATTCTACTGCCATGAATAAAATACCCATCTTCTTTAGACATTAAAATACCCTCCTTCTTAAAATCCCCT